GCTAGTGGAGCTGCAGCATCCGCCGTGGAGCCAGCAGTGCATCCTGAAGGTCCTGAGGAACGGCCGCTGCCAGCAGCAGGCTGAGCACCTGGCCGTAGAGGCGGTTTCTCGTCTCGGCTATCTGCTGCAGCGGGCGCTGGTGAGGATCGCCCGCGAGATCCAACGATTCTCGGCCGGAGTGGGTCTCTGCTCCAAGCAGGAGGTGGTCGGAGCCCTACGGGTGGTGCTCAGCTCCTCGCTGGCGGACTCTTGCACGAAGGCGTGCCTCAGGTCCGCCGCCATGTTTGCGGTTCCCGGAGAGAGCGCACTGAAGCAGAGCAAGTCCGCCCGGGCGGGCCTCCAATTGTCCGTGGGGCGCTTCTACCGCTGGATGACGGACGCCAGGTTGGGCAAATTTATCCACGAGTACGCCGCCGTGTACCTGTGCGCCGGTATCGAGAACCTGCTGGAGGAGATTGCCCTCCAGTGCAACGGGAGCACGGCAGCCGCTTTGGATCAAAGTATTGCCAGTTCCGGGGATGTGTGGGGATTGCTTCAGCCATTCGCCCACCTCAACGCGGGAAGAGTTGCCAGTGGCGCCCTGGCTCTGCCCAGGTGGGCCAACTCCTTGGACCAAGTTATTGCCAGGTATTAACTCCGCGCCTTTTTGGCAACGGCTTTTAAAAGTCATTTTTATACCCGTTACTCGTAGACTATAAGGGTATACTAGATTCGTTGAAAAGTATGTAACAGTATGAACAGTATACATATATTCTTGATTGGGATCACTAACCGAACCGACCTAGTCATGTCCCTCCGCCTGTCCGTCTGTCCGTCCGACTGTCCATGTGTTGGGCGGAGTGAGGGGAGCAACTGAAGTGCATATCTAATTGTACAAATAATTTTCTTATTTCATGTGCACCAGTTCCGGAGACTTTCGAGGTCATCTGGCCACCTGCGTTGGCAGCATAAGGGAGCTGAAGGAGAAGGCCCTTCGCACCCAGCAGGAGTTCCAGTTGGCCGCCGCCCTATCCGGATCCGCTCTGGCGGCGCTTTTCTACTTCATGCGCTGCTCGCAGCTGGAGCACACGGAACTTCTCGCCGCCTCGGGCTGCCATTCCGGCCAGGCCCAATCCGCTGCCCCAGGCGGAGGAACCTCCTCCGCGGGCCACCACGTCCAGGAGTTGTGCTACGAGCGGGCCTACGTGGTGCTGCCTCCACTGGCCGAGTGGTTGAGGGTGGCGGCCGCCCACGCCGAGCACCGGAATGCCATGATGATTGACAAGGATGACGTTATGCAGGCCGCCAGATTGCTCCTTCCCGGAGTGGACTGTCCCATTAGGCCGGTGGCGCACGACGAGGAGCTGCCCACGAAGAAGACTCACTTCAACACTGCACCTACTGTCAGCGCCACGGGCACGGGAACGGGAAGCAGTAGCTGCAGTTCCCCGGTGGTCAGTGGGATTGGCATCGGAATCGGAGAGGACACCTCTGAGCTGGGCAGGCGAGCCACCATTGGAGTGGCGTTCAAGGTAAGTCCTCTCTGCAACAACATCTTCTAACGGCGGTGAATAGCTCATCTGTAATTCGGGGTATTGCACGTTTTATAGCTTAACAAGAGAGAGTCGAGTCGAGTTTCCCGACTATCAGATACCCCATACCCAGCTAGTGGAACAACGACGAGAAATTTCAACATTTTCTGAAATATCGTTAGAAATTGGGAACAAAAATAATGAAATGCAAAAAAAAAAAAAATTGTTCAGAAGTGTGAGCGTGACAGTTTTGAGCGGTTATGGGCGTTACGAGGGGCGTGGCCAACATGTTTTTGTATACTGGCAAGATAATGGCAAGAGAAATAATAAAACGACAAGGAAATCAAAACAATCTTCAAAAGTGACAGCGTTGCAGTTTGTGGGCGTTAGAGTGGGCGTGGCAAAAAGTTTTTTGGCAAAGCGATACAAGACTAATAAATAAGTGAAAAAATATCAAAACATTTTTCAAAAGGCAGCTTGGGCGTTAGAGTGGGCGTGCAACATCAGGAAACAAACTTGGAATTTCTAGCCGTAATACTTCCTGAGATCGAGGCGTTCATACGGACGGACACACAGACGGACGTGGTCAGATCGACTCTGCTAGTGATCCTGATGAAGAATATACACATACAATTACAATTACATTACAATCGAACGTCCATTTCCCTCCACAGCTCCTGCTGACTGGTCGGGCGGAATTGTTGGCCCAGGCCGCCCAGCTTCTGCCGCCCACCACGCGGTACGACACCCAGAACAGCGCTGGGCTGACCGCCCTGATGATCGCCAGCATCCGAAACGATGAAGTGGCACTGCACGCTCTCCTGGACGCGGGATGCGATCCGAATGTGGAGGTGCCGCCTGCAGGAAGCGCCGGCTACACGGCTATCCAGCCGGACACCCAGCACTGGACGGCTCTGAGCTTCGCCGCCAGCAGGGCCAACTACGTGGCGTTGAGGATCCTGCTGGAACGGGGCGGCAAGGTGGAGGGCGGGGCCAGGAGCAGCGAGGAGAAGTGCACCCTGACCCCCCTTCAGTTGGCAGCTGGCACTGGCAACCTGGAGATCGTGGCATTGCTGCTGGCCCACGGAGCCAATGCCTTTTTGTCCACGCAGCAGAAGGATTCACTGTGCTTCGCAGGATCCGCCCAGAAGGGTTGCTTCTGCGCCATTTCAGTGGCTGCCGCCCACGGACACCGATCATGCCTTCGCAAGCTGCTCACCCACCCCGTTTCCTCTGGAACGAGGGATGTACTCTCGCTGGAGGAGATGCTGGCTGAGGGCGATGTGGGCGGTGTGAGGGGAGCAAGTGGTCCCGGAGGAGCCGGAGGACCAAACAGTGCCAACGCCAGTGGAAACATCGAGGACATTCTGCCGCTGCTCAACAAGACGCAGATCAAGCGACTCCAGGAGGCCATGTACCACAGTGCCGAAAATAATCATTTGGGTAGGTTTACCCACTCCAAAATGGGTTTAGAAAGTATTTAGAAAAATATGGGGTAAATCTATCAAAAATGTTCCATATATAAACGTTTAATTTTCGTTTAATTGCACAAATATCAGCACTTGTGGAAAGTCCTTTCCTTTGCTCCCAATAATTGTAGTAAGTAATAAATATCGTAAACATTAACAATAATACACGAATATACCTTGTTGTAGAATTTACCAAAGCCGAAAAGTTAGCTGGTTGCGAAAGCATTTGCAATTCCAATCAAACTGCTACCATTGACCGACAAAGTGATTCAATCTGGTTTTAATGGTTTTCAAATTCATTTGATCGGTATAGGATTTTGAAATTAGCAGAAATAAAACCAAGCCAGATACGTTGTTTTGTTTACAAGCTGTCTGCTTTTTGTGTTTCTACGAGGAATGATTTATGGCTTAGCTGATATACTCGTATACAATCTGTGCGTACTTGCATACAATTAATACCGCTCCGGTCTCCTTTTGCCAGATATAACCATTGAGCTGCGGAAACTGGGCGTTCCATGGACCCTCCATTGCTGGATGCACGCCCTATCGGCGGCCCACGACCTGCGACTGGACGCGGTCATAGACCAGTTGCTCCAAGACTTCCTGCAAGTGTGTCCCGACGACTACAGTGCCCAGTTTGTGAGCGAGTGCCTTCCGCTGCTGTTCAACATTTTTCGGAACAAGAACGAGGGCACCACCCTCCTCCTGGCGGACATCTTTGCCACCTGCTTCGGCTGGGAGACTTTGCCTCCGGTGAAGGAACAGCCGCCGATGCAGCCTGTCCAGGGCTCCCGCATCGATCCCAAGTTCGTCAACAATCCGGAACTAAGCGACGTGACTTTCAGGTGGGTGAAATTTCAGGTGACTCAATTTTACAAAGCTTATTCTAATAGAAGGAAATTCCATCCAAATTCCATAAAAAATTTGCACTTTGCACTTTGAATTGCAGAGTGGAGGGCAAGATCTTCTACGGACACAAGATCGTCCTGGTCACCGCCTCGCCTCGCTTCCAAAGCATGCTGAGCTCCAAACTGAGTGAGGGCAGTTCCACGCCCACGGTGCAGATCAACGACATACGATACCACATCTTCCAGCTGGTGATGCAGTTCCTATACTGCGGCGGCTGCAGCTCCTTGGACGTGGCCCACGGCGACGTGCTGGAGCTGATGGCGGCGGCCAGCTTCTTCCAGCTGGAGGGTTTGCTGCGCTACACGGAGGCACGCTGCTCGGAAATGGTCGACGTGGACAACGTGGTGGCCATGTACATTCACGCCAAGGTGGGATTGCTAGTGGTATAGATTGGTACTTGGCGGGCATCCTGACTGGTTTTCCATTTGCAGGTCTACAATGCCAATCGGCTGCTGGAGTTCTGCCAGTGCTTCCTCCTCCAGAACATGGTGGCCCTGCTCACCTACGACGACTCCGTGAAGCGCCTCCTCTTCGCCAAGAAGATCCCCAACCACGACGTGCTCGCCGGACTGCTGCAGACGCTCCAGAATCGCCTGAAGGCCCGCAAGCCCAATTCGGGTGGTGGTCTGGTCAACTCGTACCGATCGCCCCCTGTCACGCCCGTGAAAAAGTGAAGAGAGTACACTCTCGACGGAATCGAATCGAATTCTTATTTATTGTATTGTTTTTAATTTAATCTCCGAGCTTTTATGTATTATAATAGTTCCCCTGCCCGCCCCACGTCCTTGCCCCCTTCCTAGTTGTATTTTTGTATTTTCAATTTGTTCAGCGCACTGTTAACCTTTACGAACCCCGCTCCTCTAGCTATTATTGGTAGTTGAAATTGTTTCTGCATTAAATGAAGGAAGTAAAATTATAACTGACAATATTTCATTTGGATGGAGGCAGCACTCAAATATTAAATCACCTTTAAGCCGTTATTTGGACATACTCGTATACATACAGGTATGTGGTACATGAGATTCCGTCATCGAAGATCTCGAGGTGACATACATTACTTTGCAATTATATCTCGATGCTGCTCCTAAATACCAAAACAACACCAACTCGATTCCATTTGAGTCCCTCGTTTATTAGACCTTAGGAGGCTTAAAATAGTCAAGATCGGGCTGGGACACCTGTTCGCTGACCAGCTTGGCGGCCAGCGAGATCTGGGGTAGGATTGCTCCGCCCTCGGGCACAAATCCGTGGTCATCGGCCTTGTAGGTTACGGTCACCTCCTGCCCATTGGCATCGAAGTATGAGTAGGAGCCGCTGATCTCGAGGTACTCGTTCTCAGTGCCCTGGTTCCTGACCACGGCCTCCTCTCGTCTGTGGGTGCCATCCTCGCCGAGGTAGGAGAAGTTGTACGATCCATCCTCGTGCTTTTCGTGGGATGACTCGAGAATGGCCACCGGTGGCTGGGTGGTGGATGTGACGTGGTTCACCGGAGCACTCAGAACCACGGCCAGGCAGAGGGCCAAGGAGACGATGATCTGGAAAAGTGGTTTAGGAATGGGCTAATCCTTGGCGTGATCGTCTCTCGGCGGTGCGATACTCACAATCTTGAGCATGTTGCTGTCTGGATGGGAAGCTGACTGTGAATTGACTCTAAGTGTGCGAGGACAGCTCTTTATATTGCCAAAAATGAAGTGGAATTGGAATTGCTGGCCGTCTTGTTTACCGGTTATCGTCCAGCATCCAGACACTCGCTTACATACACACCATATGTACAATATGAGTCCGGGGTATTTACTTGAAACCCGTTCTAAGAATTAATTAAAGAGCGAGCTTCTTACCCAGGCCCATCTGCCATCTCCCATTGCAATATCGAGTCTCGGCCTGCAATTTGGGATTCCTAATTTATGTTCGATCCCGGATCAGGGTCTCACTCATCTCTGTAATGGTAACGTTTAATATGGACTCGGGAGAACTCGAAAATGAAGTCTAAGATGTTTTGCCTTCAATTAATACGATTACTGAAAACATTCTACTTTCGAGCAGAATCAAATTCCTTCCACATGTGCCTAAGTTTTGGTGCTACCTCGTTGCCCTGGCCACTTTTCATTACATTGTTCGAGCTCCAGCTGCTTTTGGGCATTTTCCAGATTCGATTTTTCTCGAACGCCAACACGCCGGGAAGTCGGTTTTCCGCTGGCAATTGTTTACACGAAAACTATAAACAAAGCAAACACACGGCGTCCGCCGCCGCGCTTGCCCCCATTGATGTTATTTTTGGCCACTGGGCATGAGGCTGCACTAAATCCTCCATCCTCTCCAGCCGACCATGCTATATGCGTTCCACATAGCAGTTCCAGCCGGTCAGATGGAGATGTAGATGTTGGGGGCCCCTTCTGAAGGAGATCGAAAAGGGGACGGTAATGGGAATGGGGATGAGCAGGGGCAGAATACTTAAAGGTGCCACATACGCATCGTTCGATTTGGATGCGTTCCGATTCCCGGCATTCTGTTTATGCAACAATAAATTTTACATTTAATGCTCGATACATTTGCAGTGCTACAGCAATGTCGAAAATGCCCCGATTTGGATGAGAATTGAGAGCAATTTGTTAGCTATCGCATGTACGGGGAATCTGGCAAATATTGTTTCTTTGTTCGGGTTGTGTTATAATTAATTATTAATCGAAATCCTCAATTCCGTCTGAGTGTTGAGCAACTGAATTACTGAGCACATGAGTGCAGGCACGATTTTTAGTTTTCTCTGCTTGGTTTTTGATTTCCAAATTTGCTTTGTAGAAATTTCCAAATATATACTTCCAAAATATTGTAATTTTAGGAAATTAGTCATTGGGTGTTGTCCTCTTTGTGTTTCGATACTCAATAGACTCAATAGATTTTTATAGGCTATTTCCGAATAATTTTCGGTACGATTTTATATACCTGTACTAAAAGTTCCGCCTTCATTCACAACTTTTAATTACGGAATGATCATTAAAAAAGTACGAAGCTCCGCAGAAAACATGAAGGGTTCTATCTTTAAACTTAATTTGAGTGCTTTGGCTTTGACGACTTTTTGTTAGATGCTAATGATTTTGATGATAATGATTGTAGATGAGCCGCAAAATGAGTTGCACGCGTCGTTGCGTCAGTTGACTTTGATTAGTCAGATGAAATATATCCTCGAATATACAGCTGATGATGATACAGATGAAATACATACCCAAACAAGAGGGTATACTACATACACCTTGATCACCTGCAAGTCGCTGGCCAAACTCATAGTGAATACGCCTTTTTCCCTTTCCTGTCGTTGTTGAAATGAAACGCCAGTAAGCGGAAAAAGACAAATCGACTAGAATTTGTGTATCCACTTTGTGTATTTCACATACCGATCCGCACACATGGCACCGCGATGAGATTGGTTCTTGTTTGGGAATTGAATTAATTTAATTTGATTCGATTGATTTATGGTCCAATCTGTGCTCTGGAAAACTGTGCCAAGAGGCGGCTCTGCTGCCGTCTAATGATCGAGAGTCTATATGCACGCCATACGAAAATAGTTTTATTTTTATAACTGTGTGCTGGTTTGGTTTCTTTTTTTTATGGACTTCCCCCACATACGCATTGGACGACCAAGATGATGATGATGATGTTGATGGCATCTGCCAATGCACACAGCTGTCTTCCGATGCCAACTATCCGTCTATGTACACGCGTGTATGTCTATCCATCTATAGAGATATCTGGCCAAGGAAGTTGTAAACCACTCGGGCGGAGGCTGCCCATTAGGTTGTGATTTGTTCCACGGGGCTGGCAATTAAGACCGCCATCCACCTACTCCGGCTCCGAAATCCGGCTCCTCAAGGGACAAAGGCCGCCAAAAATGCGGGGAAAATCGCCGAGATAATGCAGAAATACACGGCCAAGGGTGGCGGGCTGGCTGGGAAAGCCGGGAAATCGGCAGGGTGGGATAAACAAAACGGTAAACGACGACAAGCCAAATGAAACGGCCAAAACTTTCAACAGTCGCATAACACAAAGGCTGGGGAATATGGGCGGACGTGCCAGTATGTATAGGGTAAATAAATAAAACCGAAACTGAAAATTATGAAAAACAGGCGGCCGTAGTAGGTTGAAGCGGCCGCCAGCGACACGAGTGGATTTTTGGATTTTTAAATATTTTTAGCCGAACGGCCGAGGCGAATATTTCGCCAGTCGAGTGGGATATTGGAAAGATGAAAAATTATTGCCAGAGTGTGTGCGTGTGTGTATGTGTGTATCTGTGTATCTGCATGGGTGGGGTTCATCTGGGGACCTGGCAACAGGCACCGAAAAACGCCCACTTCAGTGGGGAGAGTTCGGAATAGATCCTGTTCCGAAATCCTACTTTACAGCACTGAGCACTATTAATTAATTGCTTTTAATATGTGAAACGGGGTAACGTCATTTTATTTCTTTGGATTTTCCCTTGGTGGGTGGACTTTCCTTGTGCTGTATTACTTCCTACTTTCCCGATCGCCTTGGAATGTCTTGAACTCTTAAAAGCCAACCGTACACGCTGACGCTCCGCGACGCACTGCACCTACGCTCCAAAATTTTGAAAACTCAAAGACATTTAGAAAATTCTATTCACGAAATGAATGGACGTGGAAGCGGGACGGAACTGTTCGGCTAGAAAGAGAGCACCCAGAGAATTGAAAACAGAGGGAGAGAGCTGATCCGAACCATCCCATGCGATCCCATACGATCCCACACGATCCCGATCCCGTCCGATCGCTAGCCAAGGAGCCAGGCAATTTATGCTGCTCGATGGCGGCAGATGGGCAGCCCCACCACCCACTCCGTCCACTCCGCCCACTCCACCCACCAACGCCCCCTGGCATAGAAAAGTCCGTGGCTAAAATGGGACGAAAAAGGAAAGCAAGGGGAAACCGAACCGATGAGTGCAGTTCGGCGTCAAAGTTCAAGCGCTTTTCGCAGTCGAGCGGGAAGAATTCTACACATTTCCATGATCGGCTGTTTAGTCTAAACATGGCTGCAGCCACACCCAGTCCTCCAGCCACATCCCCACTCTGGGACCAGGTCCGTGTCCGCACGGGCGCGGGTGTGGGTCTCGGTCTTAGTCTTAGTCAGCCGGTGTATCCATCCATTGGCTGGGGGAAAATAAACAACAAAGGGGGAAAACACACAAAAAGTAGAGAGCAGCGAATATGAACATTTTTATTCTCTAAACATTCCTGGATGTGTTTATGTTTTCCTTTTCTCTCGGGCGGAACTCGAGGTGCTCAAGTGCTGGGCCTCCGCTGAAAGAAGATTCCGAATCCGAATAGATTCTAAAACGCTTGGTTAGGGATTCCGTTTTCAGTTTCCAGTTTTTAGTTCTCCGCACTGAAAGCCCGCCCCTCCCGCTTTTCAATTTTACTTTCTCTCACATTGTAAACATTTCACTTGACGCTTGATGCTAAATTTAACATTTTCGCCTTCGGAAAAAGCAAAACAGGCAAATAAATTACGGAAATAAACAAAAATGAGCAACAGCAGCGGCAACAAAAACCTAAAAACCTAAAGTTACCTGCGCTTCGGATTGCGGTTTCTTTTATCGCTGGAGAACTTACAAATCAGAAACTAAATATGTTGAGTGGAAATGGGAAATGCATGGGGGGCAAAAAGGGCAGGAAAACTCTACGCTCACGTCTGGGTGCGGAGGAGGTCGATTTGTTTGGGACTCCAATGCGGATAACTGGCTGCATCCTCCCTAAAATGATGTAATTTAATGGCCACACATGCGTTTGCTATTACAAAGAAAAATATGTAATGATTCAGTCACCATTAAGTCACTGTTCAATTGTACAGCTTTCGCCAGAAATGATTTATCGGAATGGTACATTTTATCCCATTTAAACATCCACATATTTTCAAAAACAGTTTTTAGCGGTTTGCGGGCGCTAGATTGGGCGTGGCATATTGTGCATGGTTAATCTCAGCTTTCTGACTTTTGTAGTTTTAGGGATCTCCACGCTCAGACGGACATGGCTAGATTGACTATGTTACCAACTTTGCATCGAATCCCTTGTTTCACAAGTAAAGTATATAAATATATATTCTTTTTTGTTATTTCATTTCCTTTTCTCCCAATCCTGATGCGAAAACGGGTTTCATAGAAAAACAATCAAAGTGTAGGATATTTTATATAAAAAATTAGAAGCATTTGAATGCTAAAAAGTCCCAGTTCCCCTATCAATTTTGACAATCACACAGTTTTTGTTTCGACTCCAAATTTTTCTATCAGCCGCAGCAATGAGCGACAATGAGGATAATAACGAGCGGCAGGCATCGAAGTTCGAGTCGATCATAGACAACATGTACACCCGGCTGCGGATCATCGCCGTGGACGTGGAGAAGTTACAGAAGGCCAAGGAGAAGCTGGCTGACATGCAGCGGCGGAACACCTTCTACCACCTTCTAGGCCAGGAAGAAGACGTCAGCGTGAACCGTGGAAGCGAGATGGTGATCCTGCGCTCTAAGTATTCCCTGAATTCCGATTTCAACCAGAATCACGGCACGGGCTCGGAGGAGGAACTCGACTTCGAGGAGTTGAGCGAGGATCCGTGCAACATACCTTTCGAGGAGGATCGCTGGCACGGCTTCTTCAAAGACTTCCAGATCCTGAGCACTCCGGTCGCCACCGATCCCAACGAAAACCGCAAGTGTGTGGAGCTCACGTCGATGACGAACTGCGATCAGGAGATCAAAAACCACCTACGTGCGTTTTTATATACTTTATATACACGCCACGTAATTGATCAGAAATTGAAACTTCTAAGTTTGAAAAGAGCTACTTCTCTGGGATTATCTCAGTATCTCAGATCACTCAGATCATTATTAATTATAATTGCCTTCTTTTGCTTTCAGTGGGCGGAGTCCGTTGCTTTATGATCAACCTTTTCGTGGGCACCCAGCATGACAACCAGAGCCTGATCGTAAAGCTGCGAGAGTCGGAGATCAGTGTTTCTAAGGAGCTGGGTTTCCCCGTGGCGTCGTCAGTAATGGTGAAGATATCGCCGCGCTACCAGTTCACTGGCGGATTCAGTACTCAGTTCCTCCAGGAGGGCAAGAAGTGCGTTGAACTCGTGCAGGGCCAGAAGATAATCTTGACCGTGGATCGGCAGTACT